CATATATAAATAAAAGAAAAAACATGAATGGGAAAAGGATCCATGGAAATCCATACCTGCAGTTTTCTTAACTTTTCTGACTTTGACTGGGCCACTGCTACAAAAGAACATGGCTGACAGCAAAGCACCTATGTAGTCTTTCATTGTGATTACATTATAATATGATTTATAATAACATTACAGTAATTATAAATTACTGTATTGCTGACTAATGTGCACTGTCCTAATGAAATAAATGAAATATGCTTCAGACTAAAGCATGTCAGTGTAGCTCTGACAGGAAGTCTAGTCTTGTCCCAATCAGATGCAAACTTCCCACCACAATCTTAAATCTTTTGCTGCCTCTTTCAGGACTGCTCTGTATCTAGGTTACAAGATCATGAAAGAACCATTTTGAAAAATGTTGAGGAGGCATTTAGGTGTGATGTGCAATGTTGCATTTTTTGGGTTTTTTTTTAATCACACCTGGTATTTTGAATCCAGAACAAGAAACTTCAACTTTGGCCTCATCTCACCCAACTTCCTTCTTTCACAGGTTATGGTTTCCCCTCCAAGTGACAAACTTTAAATTGGATTTCTTGAGGTTTTTCTTCAACAAGTGCTTTCTTCCTGCCACTGTTTCATGAAGGCCAAGCATTAAAAAGAACAGAGCTTTGGCTCTCTCCTGGTGCTGTTAACCCACGTTAACACTGTAAGGTGATGAGCTCTCTGAGTCAAACTCTCTCACAGTGAAACAGTCGTGAGAAGATATCTGATCACGATCTTAAATCTATCGTCTGTGGTTGTTCACTTAGGGTGTTTTCACACCCGATAGTCCGGTAGACTCGGTTGTGTTTGCATCTGCGTAAAACAACCCAAACCAATTGAAAAACCTGTTCACCTCCTCGCCTGTGGGGGCACTGTACCAAGAACCACAGAAAAAGACATGAGCGCAACTTTCTTCCTCGCAAAATATAAACAAAATGGAGTTGTGTCAGGTTTCTATATATTGGTTTAATTCAATAAATTTGGATAAAATAAAAAATGTGCGATTCTATGAATATTCTCTGCCAGATATGGAAAGGACAGTTGAAAAGTGACATTTATGAAGCACATATTTTGGCTAGTTTGAGTGAAAACTGTGTTTAACAATCAACTTCCAATTCCCCATTTTCTCTTTTTGTGCTTAAAGCTTACCTCCACTCATCAAAAGCAACATATTGAATTTATCCTGTGGTTTAGTCTGCAAAATCCTGTGTTACAAATGTTATGCAGTCAACTAATCTAAAGACTGCAAATACAAAGCCTAAACTTTGATTTTACCTGTATGAAATGGGCCAAAGTCTGGGCAAGTCTTGGTTTCTTCTTCTCCAGTAGAGTCTGAAGGCAAGACTCAACAGCAGCAAGGGATGCCTGTTCCTCCGACTGGGATGCCAAAAAAGCCTGATGCAATTCCTGCCAAAAGCCAAACCACAGGTGAGCGTTTATTTTCATTGTTAGATCCATGTCTTTTCTTTTTTTTTTTTTACTTTGCACATTTATAGCTAGGATGTAAGAAGAAAACCTTGAGATCAGCCTCCTGTATGCCCTCTGACCCCAGTTCCTCCAGGAGGAGCAGAAACTCCAGCTCGCGTTTGACGTGAGGAGGAACCTGAAGAAGGAAGCCGCAAAGCTGAGACTCGGTTTTTACGTTGCAAGGTTGCTACTAAAACCAACGGCGTCAACGAAAAGGCAGACGTTAAATGTTTCGGAGTTTCGCAGGTTTACCTGATCTTGAGTCCATCTCTCCAAGACCTGCAGCCAGAACCAGGCAAGTTTGTGCGGACTGCCAGCAGAACCCCATCTACAAAATTTCCACAATTCAGCAAGAACAATCAAGATATATATATGTATACTGCTGAAACCAGAAATCATCAAGCACTGCATAAGAAGAAAACATTTTTTCTTAAATCGGGCATTAAATAAGACAAAATTTTTCTTGTGTCAGGCCAGATAGAATTAAGAAATATCTCCATTTGCTTAATGGAAGATAAGGAAGAATTTAGATTTTTTAAATTGAATATGTTCTGTTCTTCACACACATACATTTGTAGTTCTACCCAAAGACTTTCAAGAAAGCTGAGATGTTTGTTCACACATGGACTTTATTGTCATCGACACCAAATTATAGCTAACTTGATGCTCAGCAGTCACTGTCAGGAGGTTAAAGTTCAAACTTGTCACAATAAGCAATTAGTCAGTTAATCACATGATAAATTAAAATGAGCTCGATGATTTCACTTTTGATGATTGATATTTTTTGAAGGGCAATTTTGTCCACAGAGACTTTATGATCCATTTTATTCATGGTTTCAGTTGTGTTTTTTTTATTTCCGTTTTATTTAAAATATGTAATAATATATTTGTAAATATACTCTAAGCCAACAATATTATCGTTTATCGCAATAACTACTGGGACAATTTATCGTCCAGCAAATATGTTACTGTGACAGGCTTTATTCCTGGCTTTCCTCGAGCTAACATCTGATTGGTGAAGTGCCCCTGGTCAATTCTGCATGATGCTGACATCACTGAAGAAACAACAATGTTCGAGAACTAAAAAAAAAAGCCATAAACATAATTAAAAAAAAGAAAAACCTCACTCTATTCTGGTGTTTAGCAAAAAACTAACAATTCTGGTGATCCCAACTGACCTAAAACACAATGTTTAATCTGAATTAATGGGGGAAAAAAAACAAGTCTTTTGATGCAGCATCTGTAGCATATTTGGACTCAATGCTGTTTTAATCCTCCAGGCGACTCACTTTAAGCCGTAAGGGTGGCAGATGATGGCTCTGATTATCTTTCGCACTTTTTCGGAGAGTTCCCCCTGAGAGCTGACCAGCTGGGGAACACAGGCGCTCGCCAGCTGCCACTCTCCGTGCTGCAGGCACCTCTTGAAGCGCTCAAAGAGGTCGCGGCACGAGGCCTCGGCTTCACGGCCAAAGGGATACACGGCGGCCTCCGCCGTGACGGTTCTCGGCTCGGACATCACACCCGGGGAGTCATGCCGAGCAGCACCTTTGACCTTTCATCACCTGACGCAGAAACAAATCAGGAGTTTATGCAAAAACAAAGAGAAGCTTTTTAAACTGATATTTCACATTATACATGGTGTAATACACAAATAAGTCTATGATGCTGAAGGTTTTTCTCATAAAACATCTAGAATTTGTGCCTGCATGTGTATTTTCACTGGAGAGTGTCTGTTCACAGATGTTCAACTGCATTTATGGCTTGACTGTTCTGAGTTATTAATATGCTTTGATGCACATGCAGCATTTCGCACATCGTTTCTGCTCTGGGGTCCTTTGACTCACCTAATCTGTGAATCAAACCAGCTTATCAAGAGCAAGATGAGTTTGTTGCAGTGTGACAAAATGTGAAAAAGTCGAAGTGGATAAATGAATATTTTTGAAAGTCACACTTGTCAAGGATTTAAAGGAAGCATTCTGAATATTGGAAGTCAGGTTTTGTTTGTTTGTTTTGCAATATTTTACATCTATTTTTGATAAACAGTAAGATTATATTGAGAGAGAAACTGAGACTAGTGACAAAATACAGTTTTAGTGTGATTTAGCTGGTTTGCTGTTGTGTTCAAATTGTACAGGAGTTGGGGGGAATGTTATTTCAGCAACACCGTTTTGAGTTCATGCTTTTAGAAACGTGTTTAAACAAGACAGAAATAAAAGAAAAGAAAAAATCCCCCGTATTATCTCCAGAATCTGCACCCAACAGAGGTGAGACTTTATCAATGCAAACAAACCATAACATGACCATAAAAAAAGACCCGAAATGAAACTCGACTGGTTAAAAAACGAAACTCTGGTTTCTCAATTACACTTTCAGAGGCTGACCCGTCTCGTAATTGCCTTTCGGCTTCCATTTGATTTGACAGCTAACCCTCAAGTCTGCCTGACATTAGCTCCTCGTGTCTTAACTTAAACCTCACTTCCGTAAACGTCAGTCGGGGAAGCTCTGTCTACACATATAACATACTTAGACATTTTCCAGTGAAGCAAAAACGCCATAACTTACTAATTCCTCTGACGGAACCCCAGTTAGTTTAGCCCACGAAGCAAAGCTCTTCTCAACATGTTATGCTAGCTGCACAACGGAGGTCATGTGACAAACATCAGCTGATTCCCCGCCGCTGGTTGGTCAAAGGTGGAGAGGAGGAGGGGGAGGGGGTATGTTGCCTTCACGTGCATCCGGAAAATACAGGTACTTATGACACTTCCGATTAGTAATGAATACTTTATTTAAATATTTATATTTGTGTAAGTTATACTGATATAAACCAAACGTAATAATAATAAGGATAATCATAAATATGTATAATTATTTTTATCATCATTATAATTACACTACATTACGAATTATCATTAATTCTAATTTGCAATAATGTTGACAAATTATTAACAAATTAATTTAATTAATTTACCACTTGAAATTGTATTTTTTTATTAATTATTATAGTTAATAATAACATTGTATATTATTTTTGCTATTTATTCTTCTTCTTATTATTATTATTGATTAATTAAGAATATTTTTATTTTTATTGGTGTTGTAATAATAATAATAATAATAATAATAATAATAATAATAATAATAATAATAATAATAATAATAATAATAATAATAATAATAATAATAATAATAATAATGTAAGTTTATGGGAATTTTTAACCACACAATTATTTTTGTTTGTCTTACAAATGTTTTATGACAGTAACTGTGATTTATTGTACTACAAATAACATATATTACTGCCCATGAAACAATTCATGGGAATTACTTTAATTCAGACTTTACTGTGCGATGTATGCAGAACCCATAGTGGTGTTACGTTTTGCCCTCCAAGGCTAACCTTGCCCCTCACAATATGGAGGACGCCCTGTGACGTCTCTGGGCAACTAGGCGTCGACTCTTGTCGTCTCTCTTCCTCAGCATCACCTCCCAAATCGGAGCCAGTCTCCATGGCAACAGGCGGGATTTGCCAGCTGGGAGGGAGAGTCAAGCGGTCCTCAGTTGGTATCACCGCCCCGGCTTCCACACTGCATCACGCCCCGAGTGGAATGGATGACCAGGACAAGAAAGACAATGTATGTACCATCCTTTGTGCTTGTATCGAAAAGCACGTTTTGCTGCGTCATGATTGTTATTTTCATATCTAACCGGCTGGAACAGTCTCTGCGGCCGACTGGCTGATTGCTTCCCATCTGGATCAAAGAAGCCATTGTTCCCGCCGTTGCACCTGATCGCACGTCAGCCGGCCGCGCACTCTGTCCGCATGTAGGCCTCTGACGTCTGCTTCAGCTGAGGACTCTGCGTGACGGCGCGGGCCTCGTCCCGCATCAGCCTCACCGGCGCGTGTCTCTTGTTTTGCAGGGCCAGTACACCGGCGAGATCAAAGGCGGGATGCGGCCTTCAATGAAACTGGTTGTCATGGGGATCATCGACAAAAAGCCCAAGAGGTCAGTGCGCTCAGCTGTCGTCTTAAACCTGCACAGTGAAAGTCTTGTTTTGTAGCTCATTAGCTCCTAATACTTGCACTAATAATAATGATGATCATAATAACAACAGCAACAATAAAAGCAGTGAAGACAAACATTTCACAGTGTGCATCGTCTCATCTTTATCAAACTCATATTCTCTGAGGTTTACGTAAATAATAAACGTTTTGATTTGAATTTTTGATCTTTTGATTTTTTTTTGCACACTCATGTGCCCCGGACGTGCGTGCGTTTGCGTGTGTTTGCGTGCGTTTGCGTGCGCGTGGCTGACTCAGCATGGAGGTGACCGTGTCCTGCAAGCCTCAGGAGGAAGACGCAGAGGCGGACGTGGGTCTGCAGCTGAAGGTCAGCTTCCTGGATAAGGCTGTCCAACGTAACGCCCGTTTGGCTGGGAAGTGGGGTCCGTGTGAAAACACACTTTCCTTCTTTCCCTTTGCACCCGGAGAAGCCTTTAAGGTATTTTTTGTTTTTGTTTTTATTTTGTCCACCTCTATACTCAGGAGTTATTTTTTTGCTGTAGATATTTTATCATTTCTCCTTTTTCTTTCTTTCTTTCTTTCTTTTTTCTTTAGAGAAATGATCAAATCCACAGCCGCGATCTTGCACATTCAGCGTTTAAACCTGCAGTATAAGCTGCCTTGCCAACAAGTCACTGTCATCGCTTCCCCTTTGCTATGTTTACTGAGCCTTGCAGAGGCTCCTGTCATTTTTCCACATCGAGCTATAAACACTGGGCTTTTTCTGTGGCAGACAAAAATACAGTAGTCACAAAATAAATATTTGCATTCAGCCCCTTATAGGCGGAGACCACTAAATACCAGGAAATCTCTGGTATTTAGACTGAGAAACTCCTGCACACAAACGTGTCGAAACAAGCTGGGCTTAAGTAACTCCACCAACAACAAGAGGAAGAAATTTCAGCTGGCGTTCCAACTTTCTGCAAAAAGATCCACGGCGCACTATAAATGCATGCCACACTTTTCAGATTTTTAGAAAACATTTGAAAAAGTACGCACCCCTTCTCTTCCGCTTCACAAATATAATCTATTTAAATATTAAATCAATGTGATGCTACTGATTGATTGACCGGCTTGTTGCTGCAAACTGAAACGACATCAGAAGATATGATATATCTATATCTAGTATATGATTTATACTATGACAGTGTAATTTTACAAAATAGAATTTTTTGCAAAAAAACAAGTTTGTTTGTTTGTTTTACAAAAATCACTTGATAACAAAAATCAAATGATTTAAGTCTTTATTTTAAGAAGGTGATGACATATTAGTACACTTGACTATAACCTTTAAATAGGTAAAAAAAATTAAATAAATAATAATATAATTATGCAATGTTTGTTAAAAAATTTTTGATACAAATTTCACTTTAGTAATATGTTACTGTAATATTTTGCCACCTGCCAGAATTAAAAGCATTTTTTTTTCACGTCTCAAACTCAGGGCCCGGGGGCCAAATCTGGTCCGCCATGTTTTTTTGTTTGGACCGATGGTGTGTAGGTTGAAAACCTTCACTTAAAGCAGCGGATTCAGCATTTTCTTTTTTGTTCATGTAACTTTGACTATTGCCCCGGCTGTCAGCCAAATCCGTACATTGGCGGCGAGCTCCTTCACTGAACTAACCGGTTGTCCATTTCATTGCCAGATGGAGATCGTCTGTGAACACCAGCAGTTTCGCATCTTGGTGGACGGCCAGCCTCTGTGTGGCTTCAACCACAGGGTCTCCAAGCTCGCCTCCCTCACCGCCTTAAGAGTCTTCGGGGACCTACAGCTCACCAAGGTCGCCTAACGCCGGCTTCTCGCTGACAGGAAGCTGAACTGAGGGTTCCCCCACGTCGCCGGAGGACGGGGAAGACGGGGGGTTGGGGGGGTACGCACACCGCCATTAGCTTAGAACTCCTTTTTTCCAGTCGCCGTCATTGGGATGTTTCGCCATTTTAGTTCGCCCGACAAAGTTGCACCAGCCTCGTAATCCTATGTTGAGACAAAGTGCCTTCGCTAAGATTACCTGACTGGAGACTTGAAGATGCCGACTGAACGTAGCCGCAGTCGTCTTATGTCTTAAATCGAATGAGGAATGTGCTTTGAGTTGCTGTGAATGGTTGCGAACGTGATCTAAGGTCTACTCTTTGGGCGAGAAATGTTTGCGCCTTTGAAGAAAAAGCAAGTTAAGAAATCTGGATTAGTTTTGATCCCTTCAGAAAAGGAGGTTTCAGAATCTGTCTTAGACTTCTTTTGGAATTAACCTTTAAAAACCTTTCATTTCCTCGGGCTTTTTGGGGTTTTTAAGTTGAAAACATAGTGAAGATTGTTTGTGCATGCCCTGAAAGACACAACTCTGTATTTGAATTTCTCTCAGTTTATATTGTATTCATATTGTCCCACATAGTTGCATTCAAAATGACGGCGCGTCAAATATCATTGTTATAAATTCAACATCTTAAAATAGTCTTATTCTAATGAGACTATCTCTTCCATATAGGGAATGCTGCGCTTTCGATTCCAAAACCAAAATGAATCAAATTTGCTATGAATCTAAAATCTCTCTTAAAAAAAAAGAGAAAAATAGAAAATCTTGACAGTTCAAAATTGTGAAGCGTGACCAACACGGACTGAACGGCTTTGTTCACTTCCTGTGCTGCCATTGAAGAACTACAACCCAACACAGGCACGCTGCAATTGTAGAAATTAAATTGGAGAAATCAAGCTTAATGGGAGAAATCCCAGCCAGAGTAAGGAAGGAGATGATAATCCAGTGTAGAAATGACCAGGCTCACATGCCGGTGAACCACAGCTTCTGAGAACTGGTTCAAATCTGTGTCGCAGTGAGCGGGAAAAGTTTTACTTTGCCTCACAAACAAGACGTTTGATGGCAATCCATAATGTTATTCAAGATGCTGCTTGCTAACCGGCTTGTTTCGCTTAATTGCCTTGTTGTAAAACTTTTTGCCTCTTTCCAACCTTTTTCATCAAAGTACACTGTTATGATGAATAATGTCTTAAATGACCCATTTCATTCTGAGTTTCAGAGATGAATGAACTATAACCACTCCATCCTTAAATAAGAGCAAAAAGTTGTTTTTTTAACAGAATGAATGACCTGCTGGATTGAGCTCCACGCCTTTTAGTTCCACAGAATTAGCAATATGAATGTTATCACCGTTTATGTTTTTCTAACACTTCTTTTTTTTTTTTTTTCATCTAGAGGGAAATTCCCATCATTCACCTTGATAGATCTAGTTAGTGATGTTGGACCGCTGCTATCTTGAGCTCAACTGTACAGTGAGACTCGCACGAAAATCAGCTTCGACGTCAAAAAATCGTTCACAAATTGTTCGGCTGAGGTTGTTTTTTCTTTTTTTTTTTTTCTTTTTCGTTTTGACACCTTCCACCGGAATGTTTCATATTTTCGTACTTGAGTCACCGTAATAAAAATCAGATCTGTTTGCTATTTGTTTGTCCTGCTGTACTTTGTGTGTGGGCGCGTAGTTCGGATTCGACATCAAATCCCAGGCCTGACTCAGGCGTTGCACCACTTCTGGATCTGGCCCGAGCCAGACCAGAGCCAGACCAGAGCCGCTGCGATTGAGTCACACAGGCGCAGCTCGCCGAGTGGGAGCGTCTGTCTGCGACATCAGGAAGCGCCTGAGGACACAAGTTCAGCGATAACAACACATACTTGCTGATTCCTGTCTTGTCCCTGCTTGTGCTTTTTTTTTTTTGCTGACGGAAACAAAATATTGTTTTTTGTGGGAAACAACCTCGCGAAGAGTCAGGCTTGAGGAATTTCCCCAAGTTCACCTGCGAGACGTTTTGAAAGGTGTTCTGCAGGAAACGGAGCGATTCACCTAAAAAATGTCAGCATGTTGGGAATGATGTAATGCAGATTAATGGCTTTGCCTACTTTGACCCCAAAGCCTCTCGCTCATGAAGGGTCACTCGGTTCAAAGCGGCCCGCTACACGGACTGGCACTGCGGTCAACAATGCAATGTTGCAAATGTGAGCAGAACAATTAGCCAGGATAATCAAAGTGCTGTGCTCACTGTCAGGATTTGCTTAAAAAAAAAACAAAACACCCTGATGAACGTTTTGGATAAAAGCAAGGTAGCATATGCATATTACAACAATGAGTCTTCCAAAGTTAATCATAGCGATTAATCGTGATCAATCGCAGTGCTGGAGTGTGATCAATCTGATTTGATCTTTTAATCGATTGGCAGCATTATATGAAACACAAAGGATTCGAACGTGTTTAATGATCATACATGACAATACTACATGGAAAAACCCAAGAAAAGCAATATAAAATCTTGTCTCCTCGCTCAAATGGCTGAGAAAATGTTTCAACTTTAGTTTAATTATGTATTTAAGCTAACAGATTTAAAAAAATAAGAATAACTATGAGAGTTTTGTTCAATGAATTACAAGGAGAAATGTTAGAAAGGGACATTAATTCTTCAGTTATGATAGATTTTTTTTATCAGTTTTTTTTTTAATTTTTACATGCACTCATGCTTTTTCTTTGCATTATGTTTTGAAGTAGACTTTCCAAATCTAAATTTTGTTTTAAAAAAATTGTTTAGAATTAGCTATTTGTGTCCGGTTTTCTATTTTTTTATTACCAACTAAAACTAGCTTCAGATCAAATTGTCGGCAGTGATTAAAGATGACAGAACACACTCCGATAATTGAATAAATAACATTATTTCTTTATTTTTGAAATGTCAACAGAATAGAATAGCAGAAAATGCAATTGACAAACTTGTCCAGTTGCTAAACAATGCATAAGAAACAAATGGGTAACACAAACGGTTAAACTTAAACACAATTAGGCAAAACATATCAAAAATTGCTACCACTGAAGGGGCTTCTGAAACGTCAATCAGAAAAACTAAAGGTATTCACACAAGAACATAAGATTTAACTTGTTAAACACAAATGAACAGAATGGTGACGGCCTACAAAGTGTCCATTAGCCTTCTAGTGAGAGTGCATTCACAGAAAAATAAAAGAGATGCGTTAAACATCCTGGTTCTACGCCTGTTCTCTGATCGCATTTATCCAGTCCATCTTCTCCTGGTGAGTCGGAGCCTGGATGAAGTAGTGGACGTCCGACTTTGTGATGATTTTGAACAAGTTGCCTTGAATGTTGCCCTTCACACCTGCGGAACGGGAGAAGGTGAATGCGTCGGTGAAGCGTCGAGCTTACAAACGAGATCAAATCTGAAATGAAAGAGACGAAGCGGCAGGCGCCACTTTGAGACGCCCTTTTGCCGGCCATCAAGGCGGTTCTGGAGGTTCCCACGTTCTCACTCTGCATCTCGCTGCCACCTTCCTGAAATAATGGTCTAATTTGTTTTGTGGCAAAAGAGATTTATTTATTTATTTATTTTATCTATATCATCTTTGGGCAAAAAAAAAAAAAAAACAAAATAAGATAAAGACTGGATTTGAAGAGTCTTGCATTCAAATGAGTCACAGCAACATTTAATTTCCCTTTTGGGCTCAACAAAGTGTTTCGGAACACAATATTGGACCCAGAACTCAGTTGGCAAGCATAACACACATTGGGTCGTCTTGTTGTTGGGGAACTTCACTTCCTGACAACTGACCAATGGGGGCTCAAGCAGCCGCCTGAGCGTACCAACACTCAGGGCCATACATATCCAGCCATTTGGGTGCCCTAAGCGCCCACAAATGCTGTGGTAACTCGGGTTGAAAACCAAATCATTTGGACAAAAATGTAGGTAAAGCTTCTCAAGTTGTTGGTTTTTTTTCTCCTTAGTCACTGAGTTAACCCACCTGAAGGAACTCCATTGTCATCCAGAGAGGATATCAAACACCCTCGCAGGGAGAAGCCGCCAACAGGGCTGATGTCATCCTGACAAGTGACACAAGAACGGAAGAGATTAAGTCAGACATGAGGAGGCGAGGGTGATGATGATGATGATGACAATGATAATGATGAGTTTGCTATGAGTAACACCACCTCTAGACTCCCGGCTGGTAGAGAGGGGGATTCACTCTGTTTGTGTTCAGGTTGGTGCCTTCCTACAGCTCATGTTCAGCAGCACTGTGAGCGCTCACCTTGGTGGGGTCATAATAGTGGAGGAAGTCGGGCTCCGAACGCAGCACAAACAGTCGGACCTTCCAGTTTTTCCTTCTGTGCCCCTGCAGTTAAAGATTAGCCAGAAGTTCAAACATGACCTGCTGAAGGCCTGTCAGGGTCAAAGGGCATTATGTCACACCTTCACGATAAACTGAACAATTCAATGATATTCATAAGAACAGAATGGTTTGGTGTTTGCTCAGTGAGTATGCTAACTACTGTTGGCCAACACAACGACAACACACAAACCTTCATTTTGTTCTTTCAGACCAGTTTGGCAACATCTCAGCTAATGTAGACTGTGTAATATTGTGCTCGTGAAATGGCATTAAAGGCACAAACTGTCAAAAAAAAGCAGTAAACTGTTCGCGTAAAGGCAGCCATATTGGATTTTGATTTGTTGACTAAGCTCTGGAATTCCAATTTCAGAGCAATAATTCTCTTCAGCGTTCCAACGTGAGACTTGGAGTTCTGAGCGACTCGGTGAAAACTGTGTTCACCTTCCAAAATTGCCTGAAGTCTGAAGACAGGTCACCTGTTTCAGCAGATATCCTCTTTTGACGACTTTGCCACTCAGCTCCACCGCAGACCGCGAGCTCTCCGACTTCACGCTGCCTCTTTTCTTGAAGCCGTCAGGCTGTGTGGGGAAAGGCACGTGAGCATCGCAGAGAAAGCCGACCGTTTAAACTAGACGCCGACGTCCGAGCTGGTTCGACACGAAAGCCGGCGGCGCTCCGGGTGACGTACAAAGCTGTAGAGGGCAGTGGAGTCGTCCATCAACTGCTCACTGAGGCTGGCGGTGCGAAGGGCCTCCACGCTCCTCAGGCCGACGGTCCGCAGGAAGCCCTCCTCGAGCAAAGCGGAGGCCAGGGTCACGGCCTCGCCGCGGGTCAGACTGAGCTGCATGAACACCAGCCAGTCCACCACCGCCGAACCTGCGGAGGACAGCGCGCATTGGGAAAAGACTCTCCCAGACACGTAACCTAACCCTAACCCTAACCCTTCCCGTCGTTTTGTGGCAGTTTAAGTCCTGTGTCTCTGATTACCCCATTAAAGAGCCATTAAAACTTTTTAGTGCGAACCCAAGGAAGAAGGATAACCAAGGAAATAAGGAGATGAAAAAAGAAAAAACTGCCCCTCATGTATATGAGGGACATGTAACATCTTGGAACTTAAAAATGCTATAAGATTGGAGGCAAAAGTCAGAGTGCCTGACCAGAACCAAGCCCTTAAAACACCACAATGTTGCTCAAAGGCTGTTCTGCCTCCCAGTCTGTGACCTCACACCAGATCAGAGCCTTCCAATGTCATAAATAAACAAATGATTCACCCGAAAAGCAGTTGCTGTAAGTGCTTCCCTGCTCCATGTGGTTGCTCAACTTGATCCCACTGTGGACGTCGCACATGGAGTCCAACACTTTGCTGTGGAAGGGAGTGAAGCAACAGGGCCTCAGCGAGACACAAGACAGAGGCGGCAAACGCCGTGGAAGCCAACGTGTCAGTCAGTCGGTCGGTTTCACCTCAGGCTGACGTTTTGCAAGCGGGATTCGGCGGAGTCGTTCTCCCCGCCGTCGGTCGCCCGCAGCTTGTTGGCCGCGGCGGTGATGTCGGCGGCCCACTCGTCCCTCTGCTCTCTGGAGCAAGCTTCCAAAAAGTGATCCACTCCGTGCTTGGTTTGGAGTTTGAAGGCGAGCTAGTGAGAAGGAAAAACAAACAACGACAACAACAACAAAAAAAAAAACACAGAAAAGAGCAAAACATAAGTAAATAAAATGAAAATATTTTCAATAAATTGAATATAGGCTGTTTTTTAGATTCCAACAACCTTGCAGCAAAGTGTTAAAGATACTTTTCCTGAAGTTCACATTTTTTGCATTTCAAATGTTTTATTTATATGATCCAATATTCTACTCTTTAATGTTTGAATCACCTGAAAGTGGAAAATTGTCATAATCGAGAGAAACGAAGCCTGTAAGAACTTCATGTCTTTACACTTAAACATTAATTATGTTTGCAGAACGGCAAATGTTACAATAAGACAATGTACATGTGTGAAACCAGTTCATTTTCTCTCTTTTTTTTTCTTTTCAATGTTACTCCCATCCAAATTTAAGTGGATACTCTTTGGCATTGTTGTGTAAAAGTATCAAAAAATATTATTGTTGCAAGAGTGTTTGTTGTTGATGTTCCCGAACAACTCACCGGCCGGTTTTCATACTGCAGGAAGGGGCATGTTATGAGGCAGTCCTTCAGCAGGATTCTCCCCCTCTGACACGAATCCCGTTTCCCTCCTTCGTATTTGTAGTACAGCAGCTTGTCAGGCGTCAGGACGAACCAGCGGGCCTTCCAGTTGTGAACTATGTGACCCTGAACATACATGAGAAAAAAATGGTGTATTTTTTTGGGGAGGGGGGTGCGCTGGTGGAGAAGACAACAATCTGATCCAGCTAAACTTACACTTCTGATCCCTTTTGATAATTAATTAAATGTTCTCACCCTCTTCACCAGAAAGCCCTCTCTTAGGACGGGGGTTTTGTTGTCCATGTCCTTCAGTGTGTAGTTAAAGTCTGACTGGCCTCTCCTTGCCTGCTCGGGTTTTTATGCTGAGGATGAATGCGTCACACACACCCACACACTTACACACCTCTCCTCTTTAACCCAAACCCACCCAGTGCGAAATGAAGCGATTGCAGCTCGTCGACACAAGATAGCGCTCTCTCTCCTTCAAAGACACCAGGACCGAAGAAGAGGACCAGCTGGCGCTCAGCCTGCAGCAACTCAACTCTCAATCACGTTTGGTATGCGAGGATTTCAGGTCCCTGAAATGAAACGGGGGACATGTTCCTCAAGTCCTCCTCTGCATCAGCTGGATCCTGGTGGGACGGATTCTGCGCACAGTTAATCAGACGCGCAAAGGAGAAACAAAATGATGTTTTCTTCCTTCCAAACATTGATGTTTTTCTAAAGCATGAAGAGGCCAGAAGCAGAAGGCCGGGGGAAATGTTAATGGAGCCCAACATTCACTCTGAAAACCTTTTGGAAATGTTTGACGCAGCAAATTCAGGATTCAAATGGAATCAGAAACAGAAACAATCACAAGTCGTGAGACTGGATGCGGGACTTCCTTGAGTTTTCTTTCTTTCCTTTTGCGACTCTTCCATAAATACTGCCTAATGATTGAGTGAATGAACAAATAAATGACGTCTTTATTTCAGGAAAGATGACACAAATGATTCCACAAAATAATTTTAATGACCCCCCAATCAGGGTAATACGTTTAGTTGACATACCAGAGAACGAGTTTGTACATAAATAGCAAGAAAATCAAACTCCGTCACTTCTAATTATCATGGCATTGAGTCATTATTGGAAAAAATAAAAATCATCCTACATATATTCTACACGTCCTTCTGTAGAAAATGGAATGTGTCTTGGGTGTGTCATTTACATTTTATTTGGGGGCATTAGAGAAAATGTGGGAGGAGACCAAATGTGTGGAATATTATTTGTAAACATCTTTTAAAACAATTTTCTCTCCCCCTCTCCCGACAGACTACAGCTTCCCACTTTCTGTACGTCTCTTGACAAACGAGCGTCCTAAAATTCATGAAAGTTTTAACTGTGATGTGGTGACAAATCTGTCCAGAGGGTATGAATTAATTTTCTGTAAGGGACTCTAAAGGTGCCAAAAAGAAATTCCTGAATGATTAAAGCAACTCTCATTCTGTTTTGTTGGGTAAGTACCAACGCGACCTTGGATTCTGTCCAATGTGCCGCAAGAAGTATATCTTATTACTTCTTGCTGCTCAAGTCACTGGAAGTTTCCAGAACATCTCTCCTCTCTTTTAAAGTTTTCCATTTCCCAGTTGAGGAAACGGGAACAAGCTGCGGACTCTCGCTGGCAAGCGCCCAAAAGAATCTGTTGAACACACTGAGGAAGCAATCGGCCCTAAAAAGAAGAAGAAAAAAAAGCACCTTCTTGAGCGGGAGTCAAACATAACTCTCCGATATGACAGCCCTCTGCGCACATCTTAAGGCGTGTCTAGTATTCCTTCTGTGTTACATTAACCATTAATCAAACATTATTTTATTTATTTATTTTTTTTCAAATAAAGATGGTGGTGTTTTGGCACGCCAGGACACGGAGGCCGCTGACGCAGGTCGGCCCGGTTGTCCTGGTCACACGCAAACAGCCGGAGGACTCGCTTTCCAGAGTCTACAGGCTTATTGTTCTCAGGGAGTGTGTGTGTGTGTGTGTGTGTGTGTGTGTGTGTGTGTGTTTGCAAGTCCACAGCTGGTTACACGGAACAAGGCAGTCAGTCCAAAGCTTTATTGGACTGAACAGGGGACATTCCCGTTTCAGTTCACAAACAAGAGTTGCGCGAGACAAAGGTTTTAAGAAGCTCTTTCTTAAGTTGCAGATTCTCCAGTTTGCCACGGTTGTAAAATCTGAAAGACTTCAGGCTGTTCCGTATTTCTTTACATCACATATTTAATTAACCAAGTGAACTGGTTCAATGATTACACTTCACATTTCCGAAGAAAACCCTACATAAAAAAAAAAAACTATGACAAATACAAGAAGATAAAGTGCCTTAAAAGGACAAAAAAAAAAAACAAAACCACGACATCACATAAGTTAGCATCAGAGACGGTAGCCGTCGTCTGAACAACCGAGGGCGGGCAAGAAGAACAGAAATGTGAAAGTTTTCACACACTTCGCGTTTTGTCACATCACGACAATGTATTTTATTAGGACTTTACGTGACGGAGCAACATGATGAGGTGCATAATGCAATCTGAAATGTGCACTCAGTCCGCTTCCTTGAATGAAAATTCCTTGCAAATTAGCCTGGATTCAAAAAGCATCCCCACGGTGGTGGCAGCATGATACTGTGGGGATGCATGACTCAAGCGTGAACAGCGAAGCTGCGAGGAAACATTAACAAAAGATGAGACTGAGGCGGGCGTTGACCAACATATCCAATAGTCGCTCATCAAAATACGCTGACGTTAGTTGTGTAGAGACAAAACATGGGCAGGTGGTGTGAAAACCTTTTCAAGGCACTGCAGATGTCACTGTCCCCAAAACGTTACAAGTGCCTTACGAATTAAAGTGCACACTTTTCTGACTTTTAAAACTTGGGTTGTTCAGGCTGCCGCATATTTCCTCTTCGTTTCTTTTGGGCTCTGAGCTTTGATTAACTTGGCACTCTCTCAAAGAAATAAAAATAAAAGAAGACAAGATTGAGAAAAAATTGTTCTATATACTTCAAGCCGTAGACCTTCATCAGCCAGCTAATCGAAATTGAAGACTTTTGTAAACACAGATCTGACCGAACAGGCGTTTTCACCAGAAGCAGTGAGTTGACCTATAAAGAAAATAAAGACAGCCTCCTTTCTCCAGAAATGCCTCTCCCTCCACCAACCATCTTCTAAAACTTTGTGCAAATCCTCTATCTACAGAATTTCACCTAACATCTCGAATCTCTTCCGGGTCGTCGACCTGCGGCGTGGAGTCTGGGCCGTAAACAGCCTGCTCGGCGCAGGGTGGCGGGGCCAGCGGGCTAGCCAGGCGTCCGGCGCTTTTAAAAATGAAAGTCTCAGCAGTCGAGGGGCGGCGGGGTTTAGGGGGGACTCAGTCGATGCCAGGCTGTCACCGCTTTCTCTGGGTGAGCCATCGTGTCCTTCCACTGCTCCACGGCTTCTGGCAGAGGACTGTCGAAGCCCAGCTGAACCTGGAACCAATCAGAGACAAGAAGGTCAATTCATCAGTTCAAGACGAAACCACTTACTTTTTTTTCTTTTTTGTTTTCCTCCTGTTTTGCACTGACAATATATCAATACATGGAAATCTGGGGTAGTAATGTGAAACAGTCAAAGACGCCTGACGCCAGCCTAATCACTGTTTCAGAGCAAATACAGGCTCTTATTGTGACAGTCTAACCCACGACCAACCACCGAGCAAAGACATAAAGCAACAATCTGAACACTTTAGATGGGCCAAATCTAAAACTCTGGTAGAACTTCGACAAGAAGCGACGCACAAGAAAATAGCTGCTAAGTCACACCGGCGGTAAGGACAACGCCCAACCTCACTATAAAACCTTTAAAGGACGTCACGAGTTGAGGAAGTTACATATTTACACAACCTTCAAGGCTTACCTGTCCAAGACACTGTTTCCTCCTGACGGAGCTGCGGCTGTAGAGCCTCAGCGACAGCGAGCAGGCGTGCTCCAGCGACGCCAACAGGAAGTGAAACGTCTCCTCCCAGCGACACTGACCGCCTGACGCCTTCAGCGCCCGGGTCTTCTTCTTGATTTCCAGCTGGCCCAACTGGTGCATCTCGGCCTTGACGAAAAACACTTGGGAGGAGGCGACAGACACAGCTGAACCTCGATCCCCTCGTTGATCGAATAGTTGACGACGATTTGAAAAGCGTAGGTGCGCTTACCCTGGGAGAGGGGAGAGGAGGACGGTGGGAGGTTCTGGGCCGCCAGGACCTTGACCTGGATGCGTCCGCTGACCGGCTGGAAGAGGGTGCTGAGGTGCAGCTCGGAGTGACTCGCCTGTGCAAAAGCACACGACTCATTACTTCACAGGCATTTTTTCCGCCACGTTTGGGTTGTCTGTGTTTTTTAAGTCAGCCCTTTAACGGATGCGTTCCAGTTGCGCTCGGAGCACGAAAATTTCCCGTTCCCAGTGGGAAGAATAAACTGGAAAGCCATCTGAAGTCGGATTTGCCCCAGTCACACGACATTTTTGTTCCAAAATGGACGCTCTTCGCCAAAGCAGCAGTGAGACGTGGCGGAAACATGTTTATTTTATGCCCTTTAAACTTTTTCGCGTTTTATTTCATAAAAACCTCCAAGGTATTTTATTGGGAACGACAGAGCAACAGAAATGAAGTGCATCACTGAATTTGAAAAATGTGCTCAGCTCCTTGCGACCAACCCCATATGCAAAACAAATAAAAGAAAGGTGAAAGGTCAATGTCTTTAGCATGTTCAAAAGATGACTTGACTCCTAGAAATACATAAATGAAGAGAAATTCTTCACTCAACACCACACATGTATTCAGCTTCGTAGCATATAAAACAGACATTTCTGGTAAAAAATAAAATAAAATAAATGACTTGTTCCTTTCCTTCTCTGTGTTTGTGCTCAGTAATCAGCCGTGGCCTCTAAAAGCTTCCACGGTGGCGGCGATTTGAACAATTTTTCCCTTTTTGTTGTCCTGCAGACGGAGCCGCGCAGAGTGAATCCCACCGAGGGCCCGCTGAGGATGAGTCACCGTCTGATCTGCTAAGTACAAAAACAACCGCCACCGGCCAGACGAGCCTCCATTCATCAGCGAAACCGCTCTCCACCGGGGGAACAGCTCGAGGTTTAACCTACTTCCTCGTCCCTTCCGATTACCGCGTCTGAACTCTGGTTTCTTCTCTCCTATAAAGTCGGCACCACAATTTTCCTTCCAAATGAACCTTTGTCATGTTTCATTTGTGACCAGCTGTCGATGCGAGCACAGCGTTGACGCAGTCGCAGCTGGTCTGTGACGGATGCGGCTCAAACAAAAGGTGTAAGAACTTCCATTCCTCACATTCGTTTTCCGTTTTCCATTTACCAGAGAAAAAAAAAAAGCAACATTAAAATTAGATTTGCTACTAGAGCATTTTTTTCAGCAAAAAAACAGCTTAGAGGACATTTTGTCAGTGCTTGGAAGTTGATGGAAAACACTGCATGAGTCTGGTTTAGTTTCTAGTGCAAATATCTTGGTACATTTAGACAAAACAGATGTAAGTCATTTTTTTCGGAAGAAATACAAGTTTGTTGTAAGTCAATAATTCATTAATATCGACGAAAAGGTAGCAGTTATAAGTGAAATAATATACCAGTTTAACTAGGACTTCTTCATCAATATTAAGAAATTATTGACTGAAAACAAGCTCTCAGATCTTGCTGAAAAGTTGCTTGTGAGTAAGTTTTGTCTTATTTTAAGTGTACGGAAAATTACTTGATAAGATTTTGGGTCCTTTTGCAGTGAAGTTAGAATTTAAAAAATTTTTTACATTAAAAACCATCAAAAGACAAAAAACCAAAACACACGGCGACGACGACGGCATACCGAGGATTTGGAGGGCTGCTGGAGGTCGAGCCAGTGCTCCGACTCCTGGGGGCTGAGCTGGCGCAGGGAGAGGACCGCCTCGGCCGCAGTGCGTTTCCTGGGGCTGTGCGTCTGCAGGCGCAGCACCAAAGCGCTGCTCTGCAGCTGCTGCAGGCGCAGCGTGAACACGAAGGTCTCCATGAAGGCGACATTCTGAGAGCAGAGTAGGTGGAAAATCATCCTGGTGCCTCAAGAAGTCAAAAGTCAATCATTAAAAACCATCAAAATAGTTTGTTCAAAAATAGCTTTGAACAAACTATTTTTGTTCGAAATAGTTTCTCCTTTGTGCTTGTCTATAAATGCCAGATTTGAGTGCTAACGTTTTTTGTTGTTGTTTTTTTTACAATAGTGTCCACTTTGCTCCTGGCTGCTTCTCAGTTTAATGCCTTTGACTTAGCTTAGCTTATCTTGGCCTATCTCATAAAACTCCAATCAAAATACTCTGAGGAAAAAACAAATAAGGAGCATGGCTACGTTTCTCTAGGCCATGCAACTTGTGCAACAATCAAGCTGCTATTCAAGCGTGTGTTTAGCGTTGGGGTCAGCGTCAGTACCTGCTGATACTCCTTGAGTGTGGTCTTGAACTGGATGGGTTTGGGGACGGTGAGGATTGCTTTGAAGCCAACCTTCTGTACTTCATCTGGATGGACGACGAGGTCTGAACACTGAGCCAAACAACGCAGAACAGCAGCTTTATTATTAAATGCTTATAAACACAATAAGTCTTCAATTGCCTTCACTCGGGGGGTCGGTTTCCCACCAAATGTCAAACCCCAGTCACAGGTTGGACTCAGTTGTGCCTTTCATTTTTGTTTGGCTCCATTTTGACGAGCAGTTTGTGCCCAACTATCCATTAGGCTTTTAAAGCAAGTGTTACATTTTATTGTGTTTATAAGTTCCTTGGAGTTGCTTTTTTAGAAACTTCAATCTAAACTTAGAGAAAAAAAACAAAAAAAACGTTTGCTCAAAACTTAATAGAGCACAGAGACCTGCACACAGAGGCCCTCGCTGTGGACACACAAAGGCTCCATTGTTGGAGGCTGGCGGGGAGAACAGTGGAGCCTTCAGTACCTGAGGCACTCGGATCCCGGCTGAGTGTAACCGTACCTGAACCAGGGTGATCCACACCTGCTCCACGTCCTGCTGGTATCGGACCCGGACACAGACCTTCCCCAGCTCCTGCTCGTCCACCGACAAAGCGATGGATTCTGGAAAAAAATGAAAAAATAAATAAATAAATAAAATCAAGGAAAGCGACACTTCAGGATGATGTGGGTGAGTCACTGAAGTAGGGGGACAGGAGGAATGTTTGGGAAAGCGCGCAAAGTTTTACAGATTTTATTTAAATAATGTAGCTGGTATTATAAACATTAAAATGAAGTAAAATAACTGATTGTTTTTTTTCTTGTGAAGTGGGACAGAACTCGGAAGCAAACGCAAAAAAGAAGCATCGTTTTCAAAATGCCGTCCAAATAAAGATCTGAAAAGTGTGGCCTGCACAATTTTACTCCCTGCAATGAAATTTAAAAGCCCTCAGACGTCGCCTAATTAGCCGAAAGGACATTGGCTGGTCAGTCGAGGTCAAAACGGAACGAAATTGCCTCTGAAACAGAAACATCATCACCTCGATGCATGGTGGTGGCAGCATCATGCTGCGGGGAGGTTTTTCATCAGTTTTGACATGTGAGCCGATTGGAGTCGATGGAAAAACTTATTTGGAAGGTGTCTTATACGATGTTTCCTTTTTTCGCATGATGGGACTTGAAATACGGATTTAAGAATCGACGCGTGTTACTTGAAAAATATTCAGAATTGCCAGACCTTGTTGATTTCAGAGCACAAAGAAGGCTACCGACAAGTTTCAGCTGGGTTTTCATTTTACAGACCAAGTCAAGCTGGCTTTGTTTGCAAAAAATATCCCACGTCTTCTTCAGAAATGCAGTGAGGGAATCAAGCCAAAACAGAACGGTTACCCAGGCTGCTTTCCATGGAGCTCATCATGGAGGAGGCGCTGCTGACGGTGCTGGAGGTGGAGTCAATTCGCTGAGGAGGCCAAACACAGTCAGAAAGTGAAATACGTTTAATGGAAATGAAACCCGAGTCATCAATACGCTGCATAACTACGGATAAAACGCATCACAGGCCGCGTACTAAAATCAAGAGAAAGGGACGTTCTGCCTCAGGATCGGTTCGTCTTTCGGATCCCAGGCTGTCTGGTCAATTTTTGATCAAAAAATGTAAATCAAAGCAACAAATAATATAAGAAAAAAAAAAAAAATAGCTCAACAACAACGACTTCTTAATTTTAAGTCTCGGGAATGGCTGACGGTACAATAGACGGTGCAGTAAATCAGGGTTGTCCAAGGTGAGGCTGGGGGTCCAGCTGCTGCCCTCTGAAGGGTTTTATGAAGCCCTTCAGATGCTAATCTTGATGGAGATGGATTCATTTTTTAAAATTTGTTTGTCTTTGACATAGTCACAATGTTTTCTTTAAAAAAAAAAAAAAAAAAAAGTGCAGAAATCATGCAGGTTTCTGCATTGATCTTAATTTTGAAGCAAATGGAACCGAAAACATTTTTGATTGGGAATCAATCCACAAATGTTTTCTGTGGCTTCAACTTAAAGATTTTGGTTTTCACCGCTGCGTCTCCTCCGACTGTCATTGTTCATCTTTAAGTTTCTTTGAAATTGTTGTGGTTATTGATTTGTGCTTTGGGTTTTTTTCATTTTTATTTGTTTGTTTGGGTTTGTTTTTGTTGTAATGGCTGTAATATTGTGATTTTATTATAATGATTGTAGAAGAATAGTCTCTACTGTGGTAGGGACTAATGGGGATCATTAAATAAGCTATACTAACTGGTCTCGTCACATACAATACTTAGAAAAACAGTTGCAAATTGAACATGTGGTGCTTTTCCACCTTTGTTGTTCTTCTAATTTAGGCATATTTATGTCATTTAAAAAAAAAACTTAAACATTTATAAGAAATTATGAGACTAATCACACGTTTAAGATTCGGGTTTAAAAGTTAACCTTCTATCCACATAATAAGAGTTATTTGCGACATTCAGCTGTATTACCGAGGAGTTGTGCAAACTTTGCAGCTATATTTAGTCTCGTTCCACACAAACGTAAGGGAAAATAAAGTGTGAAAAGAGATTAGATTAAAAGCAAACAGTCTCACCTGGCTGTGGCTCTGAGGGCTGCTCAGGTCCAGCATGGAGCTGCTCAGGCGCCGCTGGTTGCCCGGTTTCACAGTCCAACCTGGAGGACGAAACCATTGTCAGTCACGCTGCTTTGATTTCAACGCAAAACCAGTGATGACCTGAATCACACAGGTCATCACTGACCTGTGTACGTTCTTCAAAAAAATGATATCTTAATTTAATTTTTGGATTTATTACGTGTAAACTTTCAAAGACTCCTCTCATTGCCGGTTGTAACGCAGTGTGACGTAACGAGCGTAAAAAGGTTTGATGATGTGTCCACAGACTGATAAAGGAGCCCAAATAGTGCAATCAGCACGTTACATAACCAGGTGCTGCTTTACTTCAAGTGAGACTCGAGTTTCATCCGTTTGTACCTGGGCTTCGAGGGCCGCTCTTTGGTGCGTCTCGTCGGGCGGCGCCGGGGGAGATGTACGCCGGCATGCTGCCCTGATGGAAGATGGACTCCGAGTTGTACGGGAAGAAGCTGGCGCCCAGCAGTTCTGCTTTCCTCCCCGCATACGTGGACCTGGCTGAGCCTGCGGGCGAGAGTTGGAGAAAATGAGCTCTACCGAAGCCCGGTGGGGCGTGTGGTGGCAGCACAGCAGCAGGGACGCTGTAAGGTTCACAGGAACGCGGCGACAAGATTTGACCTTCTTACATTTTCCTGCAAAGCGGAGATATAATGGAAGTCTGTCTTGGTTTGATTTAATCAATTTGCCCGCCCCCGTCCTTGCACACAATCACCTTAACAACTTTTTTTTTTAATAACAAAATTCACCCAATTAAAAGTAAAGATGCAGAAAGCAATTTGCTCATCAGAAATAAAATGATTTTTCCAATCAGTGAATGAATCCACAGGTAGAAGCGGTTCCTGATGTGGGCAGATGCTGAAGGCGGCATCTCGTCCAGGGCGGCAATTTTGTAAACGTTTGCGTATTGACTCAATTTAGAAATACTTTGTTTTAATTGCATTATTTTTTCATAGAATTGATTTATTTATTTTTGTATTTCTATTGTATATTTTTAACTTCATGGCTGGTGTTTAAAGTATTACTTTAATCTTTTTCAAGTGTTTCAGATGATATTAAAATGGATGGGGGGCTTGTTAGCTAGGGTTGCTACCAGGCCATGCTAGCAACAACATTCTTCACTTTAGATGCTGTAGCTAAAAAAAACAAAAACGAGAGAAATCTAACAATTTTCCACATACAACAGAAACAAGGACTAGAAGGTTGTGCTATTAATATACCGAAAAAAACACAATAAGAATAATTTAAGCACTTAATTTAAGTATTCTACAGACAATTATCTGAAATAGGAAAAAGCGCAAGGCATTTAGGACTTTAGTTAAAATTAAGTCAGACACTCAAGTGTAAACAAGCCACTGCCTTAAAGTCACACCTTTGGTTTTGCTCTGGCTGCACATGTAGAGCAAAACAAACAACAAAAGTCCAGTTTCATTCCTGGACACTGAAGCATCAGCTGGGCTGTAATGGGACTAGAACCAGTCACCACCTGTGTTTGTGTCATCGTCCTCTTACAGCAAATCTCTAAGCAGCCCTAATGACTCATACAAATGGGCCGATACGTACTGTGCAGCCCCGGCTGCAGAGCAGAGAACTGGTGGCTCTGGGGTTGAACGTAAGTGGGCTTGAAGGTGGGAACGACAAACGGGACCTCTCTGCCACCCGGAGGCTGCTTGGAAATGAGGTAATCTTCCGTTTTCTCAATCCTAGTCCTCTCATCCGGCAGCTCTCCTATCAACATTATCTCCTTGGGAGGCGCCTTTATTTTGATCACTTGGGAAAAGAGAAAAAAAAACAAAAAAGCAAAACAAATCAATCAGTCAGATGTGAAATCAACTAAAAACAAGATGGCGGACCTAGTGCTGACCTTGGGTCTCCGGTTCCTGTTTGTTCCTCTGAGAAAAATTCTTGCAGCAGTCCTTGAAGAACTCCATGATGCCTCTCGGGTGTTTATGAAAACCTAGAATTGCACACGAAAGGCTTTGGGTCGGACAGCAAACGCGTTGAATGTAAATTTAAGGAATCTGATTTGAGGTTGGGAGAGCCAGAAAAGTCGCAAAGTTTCCACGATCGTTCAAAGTTGTCTGGCACATCGAAGCAGACCAACGGACTCATCTGAGCTGAAAGCCTCTCAAGATTATAGATTCATTTGATTCGAGGTGGAGGGACGACGTTTAATGTTTCATACTGTCAACAGTCACTGATGGGAAAAAGGTTATGACTCATTTATGGAGCTATAAAGACTTACAGTTTGGGCTCAGACAAATCCTGTAGAAATGAACAAATTACCACTACAATATGACCCCGCTGAAATAACTTTCACATTTCTTTTTTTTTTAATGTTTGCATTTGTACACCCGTCCTGCATTTATCCATGCAGTCATGGGGCCCAAGGACCAGCGGACTAAGCAGCCGTAATGTTTCTCTAAAGCATCAAAGGAATCTATGAAACATGCAAGAAAATAATAATTATAACGATCAGGTGTGTCAAAGTTTGACAAGTTCTCAAGGATGAAAGGTTAAATTAAAACAACTGTTGCCTTTTTGCCCTTTGACCAGTGCCTCCAAGTTATTATTATTATCGTTCACAAAATGATGACTAAGGATTTTATTCATGCCACTTTTACATTTTCATCACTAATTCCTGGCCACCGCTCTAATGACTACATGACGACAGTACAAAGGCTGTTGGCGTTTTGTGGCCCCTGATGAGGTCAAACAACTGTAGCAGATATTTAACCACAAATTTAATTGAGTTCATTAAAAAAAAAAAAGAGAAGAATAAATTGAACTCACCCCCGACAAGCTTTTACTGGAAAGAGCTCCCAGTCGCTTCTCTCTCAGCAGGCAGCAGGGAGGCAAATGCTGCTGCTCTCAGGTCTGTTGTTCACTTTGAGCTTCAGGTTTCTCTCGCTCTCTTTTTCTCCCTCTCTCTCTCCGTCCCGCCCTCCCGGCTCTGAATGTCTCTCCATTTCCCGCACAGACGCTGACATGCTCTTCCTTCCCCGAACAGCAGCACTTTCTGTTAGATTTTTGTTGTTGTTGTTGTTTACTATCTGTGTGTGATCAGATCTCCCATTGTGGTGTCTTCCTCCTCCTCTTCCTCGGATGGTAAGTCAACAATGCGAATGCAGACAAGACAGAAATGTGGCCAACATTTTTTGGGGTCTTAGGACTTTACCGCCTTTGGTCGACACTTTTCAGAATTCAAAGTGGTCCCAAAGTTAAAATGTTTTTTTTTTTTTTTTTTAGAATAAAAATTTACATAGAAGTGTTTAAAAATCAACGTTCAGTGTAGAGCTATTGAATAATGTTGAAACTCTTACAACCCCCCCCCAAAGGCATTTAATTTAGCCCAAATCTGTAGCTATTAGCCACCACAGCTCAGCAACACACATTCTACACTAATCAGACATGAAATCAAGCAACAGAAAACATGTTATTGACGGACTGAATTAACTTAGTCCTTTCTTGTTTTTGGAAAAGCCATGACGTCCCTGAACTGTTTGCAGAAGAGCCAACATTAAACTCCCTGTGTCAGAAAAGGAGTTTTAAGTGGCCTTGAAAATATCGTCGCTCAATAAACAGCAGCTGCTGAGACAAGCCTATTTCCCTATTTGGTCTGGGAGGGAGTTGTGTCATGATTAAATCGCAACATTTTTTTATTTGCTCTTCATAAACATTAGGCCGATTCATAAACACAAAGCGTGCGAACCTGAGAACTCCTGTTGTTGATTCTGCGTCTTTAAGTAGGGAAGCATCTGCAGCTCTTTAAAACTCATTCACATTTTGCCAAATGTGTCTTTAAGTCAGAAACCCATGCTGGGAATGTCCATGTACATGTACGAGGCAGGATTGAATTTTTAGGTTTTGTGTCCAGGAACGGCCACTGGCAACCACAGCGCTGTCGACTGATGGTGAAAATATTCACACTGTGTTGCAGCAGATTGTGCCCTCAAGAATTGCTCATATTCCAGAATCAGGAGTCCTGATAGGCTGGTTATGATGGGGAAGTTACTGGTGTGTCTGTGATTGTGTACTCTATTTGCAGTAATTTCACAAATTCATAGACTCTGCATCCTGTGGGTCAAAGGTTACCAAAAATAACTGCCGGAAACTGGAGAACCCCTGAAAATACACAAGTATTTCCCTCTCTGGATATAAACACCATAGTCAAAGAATCACACACATGATGAGTCACAAACACTGAACTGAACTGATCCAATCGAGTCCAACTTTTAAAACCATTCAGCTGTCGACGGAGCTACGGAAACAGAAGCGCATTTTCTTTAGGATTTCAACTACTTAGCTTCAAAACTGACTGCACAGCATGATGCCACCACCGCCGTGCTTTGACAGTTTATTCAAGGCTCTTCAGGTTTTCTTCGACTCGATATTTGTGTCATACGACCAAATGTTTGTCAAGTTTAAAAGGTGTTGATTTTGGAGCAGGAATCTCCTTTTTTGGTCGAGCCTGAGGCCTCCAGGCATGGGGCGTGCTAAACCCGTGCGCCACCACAGCACGCCCCTAACTCTTTCACTTTTTAAATTGCTCCTAAACATCGCAGCTGAGGGGAACAGTCCAAGTCAGGACGATAAAACTTGGAAGAAAAAAAAAAAACACAACAGGAAACCAACTGTTTGTCATTTACCATTCGTCCAAACATAAGCATGTGAAATGTGTATTTAAACCTCTGATGAAACTGTATTTTTCATCCAAAACCTTTAAAAATATTTGTTAAATCATGTTACAAACAATGCGTAGCATAAAGCTGATGAGACGACTCTTAAAGACCTGAAGTGTGTACATTATTTTAGATGCAAACCTTTTAGAAAACAAAGTCCAGGATGTGATGAACTCATTTATTGCTCTAAAAGAATTTGTGATCTATATTTTAATTAATGACTGCTCGTTACATAATCTCAAACACTTGTTTTTCTCCCTCCCTTTGGCGGGAAACATACAGGTAGCTTACTCTTCGGTTCCGATAACCAGCTTTTCTTGTTCTCAGGAAGGCATGAAATGACGGCGTTTACGGTCGCTTCCACAGCTTAAATGTGAAGAGATGGGATCCCCGAGCACAAAGACCAATACTCAATTAGTAATCTGAGCCGCGCCGTCGCAGAAGAGGACGTATGAAATTGTAGACTATAAATATTCCTCTGTGTCCGCAGCTGGAAAAGCATCCAGCGTCCAGGAAACCCGAGGACGTTCCGGCAAAAACGGAATGCCTTCGCATCCGGGAATCTTGTCCGAGTCTTTAGTGTTTGAACAGAAAAAAAAAAAGAAAAGGAAAGAGTATTCTCAAACAAAAGAATTACACCAGTTACATGTGAGTGCAGCTGCGTGGGGGTTCTCAGAACGGATGCTCCGATACGTAGATCGTCAGCCTGATGATGGAGCTTCCTCGGAAGTTGATGACGTTGTTGACCGTGACCATCTCCAGGTCCAGCACCAACACCTGCGGCCCTTTGATGGGCCGCGTCAGGACCAGGGTGGCGCTCACGTTGCTGGTTTGCTGGAAAGGGGGAGGAAGAGGAGAGGAATGTGAGGAATGATGCACAGGAAGTGCAGAGTCAGAAAGGTTGGGCTTACAGGAAGAGAAACTCTTGGCTCTGCGACATGTTCATTGTTATAGTCTTTATGACCCACTTCACTTCTTTTTTTTCCACATTTCATCACAATACACAAGGACAGAAGTGGTTAATCAAATAAATTGTGATTAATCAATTAGTGAAATAATCAGCAACTAATTTTGTAATCAATTAACCAGAATATAAAGACTAAAAAAAGGCTATTTACTGAAAACAACTTATTTAAAGCTGCAATAAAGACAAAACTGTTCAAAATAAAGATTTGGAGATAAAAAAAACACCTTTGTCTGCAAAGGTTTCACCCAAAACTCCTCAAGTGGCATAATTTTAACTTCAGAGTTCAAATTTGCTAAAGGAAAGCTCTATTACTGTATTTTAACTGATAAAATGTGAGTTTTCTTATTCCGAATATTGTACTTTTAAAAAATCTTACAAGGCTAAATAAAAATAAAACCTGTAGAATGTATCAATGACATTGATCTAAGTAAGTAATTAATCATCAGAATAATCATTTACTAGAATAATCATTTAAAAAAAATTGTCACCACCTGCATTTTTCAATACACCTGCAAAATTATATGAATTTTATGAGGATTTTATGTGACACGTCAGCATTAAGTTGTTCATAATTACAATGTCATGGGGAAAAAAAAGAAAGATGGCTACTTTTAAAAATCATAAAAATGTTATTTTGGTTTCAGTTCCTTTTTTTTAAACAAATACCAAAATCAAATTGAGTGCAGATTGTTACATTCAGTTCAACACAGAAAACTTAATTCATCTCCATTGGGGCAATTATTATTGAACTGGGTATATTGTTGTAGATAATTTTAAAGCAGGCTTGTGTTATTGCACAATGCTAAGCTGCAGGGGGAAAAACATATACAAAAACAAAAAAGAGTAATAAGATGCCACACTTTTCAGATTGTATAGGTATGACACTTTGAAAAGCGTGCATCCTTTCCCTTCAGCTTTACAATAGTGTGCTGGTAAAGCTACTACCGCGACTAGTTACTGTCATTTACAAAGACTGCCCTGCATGTGCCGCAGAGATTTAAGAAAAAAACAAAAAAACAAAGCAAAGCAAAGCTCTGCCAGGAAGGAAACACGAGTGAGTTGTTCCATCTAGTGGCGACACGCTGCAAGTACCACCAAAGGCGATTCAAGTTTTGCAGCCTCACACATCTGGAGCTGCAAAACTGTGTTGTTCTCCCTTTTTACTAAACCCTGGATGATAAAAGTCTCCAGTCTGCTGCTTTGGTCTCAACTAGGACAATTGTGTTTACAGGGAATTCATAATTCATTTTATTTGTTGTTTCTGTTTATTTAAAATGTTCATTAGGATTAAAGTTTATTGATCTTTGACAATTTGTTCTTGTACTACTAAACTATTACTGTTATATTATCGAAAGAGGCCTCAAACAACGATAATATCGTTTATCACAGTAACTTCTGGGACAATTTATCATTGAGCAAAACTTATTGTGACAGACCAGACGTGAATACACTTGCCCAATAATGTCATAAAAGGCAAAATAAAATAAAATAAACTGGTTTTATTCATTAAGACTTTGGCTGCAGGTTTTAGCACTAACCTGTCTTTTCTGATTCAGCAGTGAACCTGATGCAGATTGAAGGCAAGAGTAACCCGTTGGCACGGTTTCTGCAGGTGGCAGTGTTTTTCTCCTAAATGCCTGTCACCTCACTCTGACCGCCCCGCTCTTCATCCCATCCCCCTATTCATGGACTCCTGAGCGCTCACCCTCATGTAAAACTCCCGTCCGCTGTTGCCCGACTTTATCTGGAAGATGTAGAAGGCGCCGGGGTAGCGCGTGGTGGCCTGCATCTGGAAGATATCGGCAGGCACACTGCGCCCCGACGACAAGTCCATGTGTCGGTACAGAACGGTGAAAGCCAAGTCCCTGCAGGCAGGGTTCTCAGCTGAACACATGCACTGACTGCAGAGCGGTGGGACAGAGGAGGTTCAGAGAAACACACCATTAGATTCTACAAATGCAACTCGAGACTTTTAAGTCGCCACGATGTGATGAGAGGGTGCCGAGGAAACTCACTTGTCACTAACGGCGATGTAAGGAGGCTGACACTGTAAAGGAT